TGATCATTGTTAGGAAAGTTTTCCATAGCAGTAAGAACACTGATGTTTAGCTGGGTTGATAGTCATGACTAGAAGATTCTGATTATGCCAGAAGTGACGTGAAACAGTTGATTTAAGGAATCTTATAAGCGCTTGACCTGTTTCATATCCAACCAAATACATACTGAATCAATCAAAAAAAACCCTTCATCCTGTTGCCTGCTGTTGTTTGACTGAATTTCTTTCCCTGCTCCCCCCACCCCAACCTTTGTGTCCTTGGCTAGGGTAGACTCCACCTACCCTTCCTGCCCTCAAAGTCTACTTCACTTACCCTCAAGCACTCAGTACCATATATTCCTGTCCAACTGTATTATTTTTGTTGGGGAGAGAAAAGAAAATTATTCTTAAATCATCTTCCAGCACACAGCACAGGAAACCTGTCCAGCATATGGTAGTGTATGAACTTTCATTAAATTGACATTATTGACCCAAATGTTAGCTCAAAATGAATAACCACAGTAGGAGTCTCTGGGGAAACTGAAGTTTAAATTTACAGAAGTAAATGCTTATCAAACTGTGTATACAAATAGCTAATTAAGTATTTAATTAATCATAACTATGCTATACATCTGTAGTACCAGGTAGTCACAGAGAACCATTCTTAATAAACCTATGGGGCTAATCTTATAACCAAATAATGATTAACTTGAAGGAAAATGCAACTTACTCCCAGATATAGCAAGAGTAAAAAAGGAGATTAAAATCACTGGGTACATTTTTCTTTGCCTGTGTTTTTGTGTACTATGCTTTGTAGTTGCAATATGTTTCCAACCAGGGAATGAACTCTTCCTTCTCCCTGCCTTTATTTTATTTTGCCTTGTCTAATCATTTACCAAATATGTAATAAATTATTCACCTCAATCTGCAGCTCCAAGACATCTGTGTACATTTCCACATTCTACAAATTTATCAAATAAAATCACTGGATTGGATGATATTTTGTATACTTAAAAAATAAATCTGTTCCCTTAAACAGAAGGTGGGTTGAAATTTTCAAAGCCTGGGTGATTCAGACACATCGTTAAAACCCCTTGGCTGTACTTTCTTTACACATTTTTGTAGATGTGGCAGTGATCCCTGCATCACATTCTACCTCCAAAAACAGGACATGGGTATGAATTGTAAGACATTCAAGCAGGAATTAAACAAAAATTAAATCTGAGCCTTTTAAAAACTTGTGTTGGGTGATCCCACACAGAAGAACTCAGCACAGTCACAGGTCTGGAAAAAATGTTTCAACATTTGAGGTAAGTAGAAAAGAATATCCAAAGAATGAAGAATTGTGTTTCAGGAAAAGAATTTTATCAAAAGATCTATGGGAGATGGGTTAAAGTCAGCACATTCCAATTATTTTTAGACAACGTCAATGCGAATGGTATGTACAGGTAACAGGCATTGTATATCACCACCACATGGTGCTGGGATGTTCATCTAGACAGAACACTTCCACTTAGAAAATGTATAAAAATTTGAACACATTATATTCACCCAGCACAATAAAGCCAGTATTTCTTGGTTTAAGCACTACTAGTTTTTAGATACATTTAAGAGTATTTAATTTGGAGGTAGATTATGCTGGATAATAACTTCAGAAGGACTATGTACAGGCTAATGTATTTTGTTATAAAACTAAAGATATCAGAATATGCCCCCTTTGTAGGAAATACAGAGTTGAATCACTTTCTACTGGAGCATTTCCCCAACATCTGTTCTGAATTGTTAAGTACAGCTGCTGGGCACTTTTAATTACTATTGTTATTGATTTGTATTGCAGGCCAAATACAAGCCATGTTCCTGGCCCAGGAACCCATTAGGTCAGGTGTGGTATAAAAGATGGTTTGTGCCCAGACATGCCTACAGTGGCATGTGGAATGCTCATTATTAATCTGTATCTTTCAGATACCTTGTGGGAACTGTGTCATTTCCAAACTTACATAAAAGCACTATATTCCATCAAAAAATTGCTCAGGAACCACATCAGTGATCAGTGTCAAGACCTGGCTTATGCCCGATGGAGAAAGAAACTAACAAAAAACAACTTCCCTAAACAAGGAATCACCAGTTCCCACTTCAAGATAATCATCCCTCACCCCAGGCCTCTCAGCCCTCTTATATAATCTCTTCCAGCTCTCTCATATGCTGATCAGGTAACACACCACGTGCCTCAAAGAGTCAGCAAAACTCATACAGGCCTGCTCAGCAGAATTACCACCAACCCATTGGTCATGACACAAATTATGGAAAATACTTTTATAAACACTGCTAAATCACATTTTTCTCATGAAAATTGAATCATAGCAAGCCTAAAAAGAATCAAAAGCATGAGTAGAAAGTGAACTACTGAAAATCAAAGCTAAAGCCACAGAGCAGAATGTGCAGCTCTTAGAAGTGTTTGTAAGTAGGGGTGTGCAAAATGGGCCATATTCAATTCAGATTCAGCCCAAATTGGGGACAGTGATTTGATTAATTAATTCAGATCACTGTCCCAATTCAATTCGGCAAAATCTGAAGATTCGATGCTGATTCAGAGAATCAGAGTTTTGGCTATAGACACAGCCTTAAATGTTTTTTCTACATACATTGAGGTACCAGGCACAGCTTGTGAACACTGCAATACTGGGGTGGATGGAGCATCCCACAGGAGCGCATTGGGACTCCCCGCATGCTTGGTAGTGTACCTGGAAATGGACTGGAAGTATTTCTGGTCCATTTCCAGGTCTGCCACCCAACTGTGGCTTGGCCACGGGGGGGGGACCCTGAATGCTGCCCCGGGCCCAGGTGGCACCAGACACCAAGCTGGGGGGTGGAGGGGAGGGGTCTCCCGCATGCTCCCCAGCAGACTCGGAAGTGGACTGGAAGTACTTCTGGTCTACTTCTGGGTCCATTGTCGAATGTGCTGGGGACCCTCCTGCATTCCTGTGGGACACTCCATCTGCCCCAGTATCGCAGCATTCACGAGCTGCCTGGTACCTTGAGTTATATAAAAAAACATTTAAAGCTGTGTCTATGTCCAAATCATTGAATCTTTCCAAATCTCTCTGAATTGATTTGGAGGGTTCAGATTCAATTCAGACAGATTAAAGGGTCTCTTGATTCAATTCGGATTCGGAGATTCAGCCACAGAATCAGGGCGAATCTCCACCGAATTGAATCAGTGACTGAAGCTTTGCACAGCCCTACTTGTTAGCATATGATAATTTTAGCAATTCCAAGGCAAATTCGTCTATGTTAGGAAAAGTCATACTCATATTGCATTTATGCCTGTTCCTGACTGATTTAGCTTAACCCTTGTGATTAGCAGGGTCAGAAATAGTCATTTACATCTGGGTATTTCAGCCTGGCTGGTCACTAAGAGGAAATAAAATTATGTAAGCTTTGCAATAGCAAGATGAGATCAGGGACTTAAAAAAAACATTGAACGCACCAAGGTTATTATGATTAAAAGACATTTGGTAAGCAGCAGGTGCATGTTGTGGATCCTTCTTACCAATTCAGCAGGTTTAAATGAGTATTAAGCATAGAATAACAGAGCTGAAGGGACCTCAGAGGTCATCCAGTCCAACTTCCATGCATCCTAGTTATTAAAAAAACACCTTTCCAAATATTAGTTGGGGAAATAAATGAAGGTTTGGAGAGAGGTTGTTTTGCATGGGATAGTAAGTGACCATGGTAGTTCTGTTAGGCTTCAAAAAATACATTAATGCATAGTTTTATACTTATCAGCTCAGTAAGCGAGCTCAAATGTAAATGTTTCGAGGTTCTCAGTTTTTCTTTGCAGTGTGTTGTAGTGGCAGGGGGAAGGCCTCCCACCCGAGCCACTATAGGCCAGTACAACTCACTCCACAGTCCTCCCTGGCAATCAGGCCAGTTACCTGGGTGCCACATTCAATGCACCAAATGCTCCCTGCAGTGCCCAGCAAAGAAACAGAAGCCTCTAATTACAGCCAGAATACAAATAATAATGATTATCCTTTCCTGATTCTTAGCAATCTACTTACCAAGGCCCACAGCTATAACAGCACAGAAATATCTGTTTGCTGAGGGGATCCTGCAGGCCTTTCTAGCATTCACAACGGACAAGGTACGCTCCTCACCACACAGAAAGACGGTTTCAAATTAGGATGCTTCTTATACCTGATTAGCTTCTGTTAGATGCATATAGAGGATTTCCTTTCTCCAAGATGTCAAACCCAATTTCTTACACTTCTGCCCTACCAGGTTTATTTTTACTATTTAGCAAATTTTTTGCATCCACAATGCAGTACACCCCAGCAGTGGTTAGTGTAAAAGGGAAAGCTGCTGGGTTGGAGGAAAAAAAAGTTCTAGTTAAGTTCAGAAACCTAAATATCCTGGTTCAGGCTGGTCTGTGTTTATTCCAAACTAGCTCACCCTCCACTAGACAAATGACATTAAAACATAAGAATGAATTTCATCCCTTGACATAGACTGAGGACTCATCCTCTACGTGCAAGTTTATGACACTAAGAAGCTCAACTTAGAGATCACCCGGGAATTTCAATTCATCCTGCTCCTATTTTCATTTCAATTCATATATTGCAATGTATGTAATCTATCCATCAGTTCTATTTCTTATAGCCTTTTCCTGATATAGAGTAACAGCGAATCACTTTAAAATCCCTCTAACATGTTATCAGTCCTTCCATTGCTTTCATATAACTTTAGCATCAACACAAAATATCATTAAGATGTGATCTGAATAGCAATAATCCGAGTAAAACCTCTCTTCTGGTAACTTTTCTCATCTCAGTTACCTTTAAACAGTGAGCATGTAAAAGAAAAAACTTCCACAGAGACAGGTTTGTACCTTTGCAAATTACAAGAGGACAGAAGGACATAGAAAATCATTCTTCTTTATGTGTTACCAGCCACAACAAAGAGGATCTGAACATTTCTTCAGCCATTTGCCTCTTATTTGACAACTCCAGTAATGACAAGCTTACCTTCTGAGATCCAGATGCCGAGCCCTTCAATGAAGTGCGTTTGAAGGAGCCACTCATTCTCCTCAATGAACCTGAATACTTCCCTCCTCTTCCTTTTTTAATTCCCTGTCCCTTACCTTCCATAAGGGACCTAGCACCCTGCCACCGAGGGACACACTAATGTTTTTCATAGAGCCAGAGCTATCATTTACTGAAACCAAACATGAGTAAACTCATCAAAAAAAAAAAAAAAAAAAGGAAAAATAATAGAGAGATGGCTTTATAAAACAAAACCAAAGCTCAAAATCACAAGAGTCCTGCTCTGCTGTGCACCCTGTTACAAGTCTTACAAGCTGGCTAGGCAAGTAGCAAAACAAGTCGATGCACTGATACAAACTGCTGTCTCCCTCCCTCCTTCCCTACAGACTTCATAATCAGGCTTAATGCACACAGCTCCTGCAAGCTATGGTTTTTAATGGATGGAGATTTAATAAATGGTGATTGAAGGTAAATCTACTTTAGAAGCAGCAGCCCGAAAGGTTTTTATTCACGCAAAGCATGGGCCAGTCAGATGGAAATGATTTTGGTATCAGTATAAAGGCACATGAAAAGAGCAGATGGTCCTCAGTGGACTGTGGCTTAGAAGCCTGGTAGCATGTTAAGGATAGCCGCTGATGGCAAAAGTGCCTACACCAGAGTGAGGGATGGGAAACCACAATGAAGCCAAGCTTTCAAAATGGATGATCAGAAGATCACCAACACGTGAAATGTTAGTCAAGTAGCAGGCAGTCTGTATCATCTTTCTGAACTGTCATATGCATTTCATTTGATCTGTCTGATACTATCCTGCCTGACAATAGATAGTTAACTCAAACAAGCCAAATAGGAGGAAGAAAACAGAAAATGAAACCATGGCAGAGATGAAGCAAGTTACAGAAACAAATGGAATTGCTATTAACCAGGGAATGCACACCAGGCTCTAGCAAGGTTTATTCTTTCTAGCTTTGAGCCTAGAGTCAAAGGGGATACTCAATAAAGACCCTAGGAAGACATGGGTCAGCAGGCACCTTCAGATAGAGGTAAATACTGAGGTAGATAATGCTACATGGGTTGTCTGCCCCTGCCAGCCTAGAAACAGGAATGCCTGGGCTGCGTTGAATTTACTCTGAACTTGCAAGGAAAGCACAGAGTTTAGAAAGTACTACAGTGAATAGGTCAATGAATATTTTTGAAGACTTCTTTCTTGAGTCTCCGTAGTAAGCTACAGGGCAGGTTGCAGAAGGGAAGTGAAGTCTCACTACAGCTCCAGAGGCATGAGTTTAAGCCCAAAGACTTAAGACAAACTAAATCAGAGATATATGGTGTCAGCTTTTGTAAGTGGCGGCTCACTTCATCAGATGCTATCATCTTTAACCCCATCTTTATCTTCAATGGCATCTGAAGTAAGCCGCTGCTTATGAAATTTTGTGCTATACATCTCTGATTTAGTTAGTGTAGAAGACACAAATCTATTCTGTCTTCTGCTTGACTTCAGACTAACATGGCTAACTCTTTTTTTTCCTCCAGATTTAAATGGGTACCTGTTCATTTGTGCTGGGTAATCAAATGTGGCTGGATGTGATCAGCCACGTCACTTCTGTACTGCTGACTCCCAGAAGTAGAGGCTTGGAGTGAGCTCACACGATTGGCAGTTCTAGAACTGGATCCAAGTCATTAATTAGATCATTTCTCTCCCATCTTTTAATTTGGTGAGCCAAGAAGATGCAGGGATAGAGCTAGAGGAGCCAGATACAAGGTTCACCTTGAAAGAACTGCTCCCTTCCAGTTAGCATCTAACAAATAAGTAAATACCTGGGCACTCTTTTAATTAAGGCTAGTACTCTTCTAAATCTCCGGAGTCCCAGGTCTCCCTTGGACTGAGGCACAGGTGAGGATGACAGCTGGGAGATACCATTTTGGAACCTCCAGAACAGGCCTGGAAGTAGTTTTCCTTGATACCCAGAACTACAGACCCCAGCACCATGTAGTGAAAAACCTGAAGACTGCTGTCTTATACTGAGAGGAACAGAAAACACGTCTTCAGTTTGTTTTTGTTCTTTCTTTTATCTTCTTGTTTTACTATCTTGACTTTCTTTTCTTTGAGGGGGCTATGTTTTTTTTAATAATTATAAAAGAAAGGGTGAATGGAGGCATGGAGAGATGGGATTGCTGATGGACTGATAGAAAAGGAAAATGGAGCCTGTGGTCCTTAAAACTGCTTTCTATTGCCAGGATAAGTTACTTTAGCCAGTTCTTCTATCCATCAATAAGGCTGTGGTATTTGAGTAACTGTTGCACATCAGGACCCAGGGCTGATTACAACTAAGTGCCTAATTAGGACGAAGCACCTAGGGTGCCTACAGACATTTAGGGGAGGCGTTCTAACTCATGGCACTTTACACAAAGCTTCATGAGTCACAGCCCCACCTGACCCAACAGACATTTGCCTGTTGGGTTGGGTGGGTGCAAGCCAAGCTGCACTGGCTAGCAGTCAGAAGTGCTCCAGCAGCCTCCCAGAAGGCTGCCAAATTGCCCCTCCCCTCAGCCCTGCCCCCTCCCCCAGTTCTGACCATAGCAAAGCCAAGCCAATAGCTGTGTGCTGCTCCTGTCAAGAGGCTCAAGCAGGGGTGGAAGAAGGAGGCGCTTCCTTCCCCCACCCTAGGCCCAAACCTCTTGATAGCTGCAGCATGCAGCTGCCAGTTGGGCTTTCCTGTGGCTGAAGCTGGGGCCAGGGGTGGAACAAAGCCCCCTCACCTTGTGGGCCCAGCCCAGCTCCCCCAAATACCCCAGCCAGGGTAGCTGGGGGAGGGGGGCAGGAGGTGAGAGGGCTCTATTCTACCCCACACTCCCCGCAGCTCTGGCCAGGCAAAGCCAAGCCAGCAGCTGCATGCTACCCTCTCCCCTCCATCACCCGCAGCACAAGGAGAAGTCTTTCTCCTCTCTGTGACAGTCCCATGCATGTGAAAAACTAACCTCAAGGGAGCCTGAACAGAAGTTCCCTGCCTCCAGCTAATAGTTGATTTATCAAGGGTTAAATTTTCACATGATTGGCCATTTTAAAAGTGCTCTGCAGCCATGATCATCTGTTATGTTATGGCTGTAGAGCACTTTCAGGGGGCAGATCACACACAAAACGTAACTTGTGTAAGTTCCCCTAAGCAAGCTCTTTGATGTACTCATCCTTTTGTTATTTACCTCTTTAGTCATCTTGAGCTCAGGCATATGTAACTTTAAAATATTTAAGCTAAGGGAGAGGGTAGCTAGCTAGCTTGGAAGTTACTCTGATCCTGTTGTGTCTGAACACTCCTATGGTGGTTTAAGTGAGTGAAATCACTCTATAACCTGGTGAAGAATGTCTTGCATTCAAAAGCTTGTCTAACTCTATCCAAGCTATACAGTTAGTCCAATTAAAGCTATCACCCTAAGAAATCCCTACCTCTAGCGAAAATTGGAGGTCACATTCACAGGTCCTACAATTCTGATTCACTAGACATCTCAGCCAGAGTACCTTTGTACAACCTCTGCTGTGGCGTCTCTTGTTCCTCTATGCTATGTCATGTCATGTCATGTCAGTCAAGAGCACAATTTATGGAGAATAACACATTTTAATAATTTTGACTGGGTCTCCCTAATAATCATCACCAAAAAAGTCCATGTCCTATTCTCTTCCACAAGGCAGTTTGTTACAGAGGATTGAATGCTGCTATTAAGTTAGCAAGAAAAAAAATTGCACAATGAGCATGACAACAGCTGTGCCTGTCTCATTGTCCTCAGAAAAATTCCCTCAATTGAGAAAAAGAAGAGGATCTGACTGCAAGTCAGACCACGTAGCTCAAGCACATAATTGGTGTGAGGGGAGAATTATTAGTGCCAGTGGACAGCACATGCACTTTATGTGCAACAACTGTGGGTCAGGCTGTTGATGACCAGAAAGCATATAGAAAATTGAACAAGTATCAGGCTCACACAGAAGTCTGTGCGCTACCTAGCTCCAGTATGAGAGCTTCTTAAAATACAAATGATACCAGTCAAATCAGGGTACAAAAGTATTGTTTACCTCTCACTACTTTCCTTTTTTTGTCCCTTTTCCATTGCATTTTATATATATATATATATATATAAAATTTCATCATATATATATATGATGAAATTCCCATCAGTACATAGCCCACTTCAGTCATATCTTAGATGCTCTGAGTGAAATTCACCCCTATGCAAATGGCCAGCTCAGCAACATAGTGCCTGAGGTTTTTCTTTTTATTGATTTATTTGTGGTACAGGAAACAGGTAACTTACCAAAGTGAGCTGGGATGATGGAGTGTGTGTGTGCGCAAGCAGGTCATTTGACTGTCCTATCATGCCAATCATCCTTTCTATAGCTTCACTTAAATTTTTCTTTTCCCCTGTATTTATAGTCATTGCCTGCCTTGCACACACACACACCATCATCCCAGCTCATTTTGGTAACTTACCTGTAATGGAAAAGGGACAAAAAAGGAAAGTAGTGAGAGTTAAACAATATTTTCTACCTTGATATGGCTGGGATAACTTTTACTTCTGTGCTGAAAGTAGAGAGAAATATTATTTGTTTCATTTTTAATGATCATCTGCAAACTTTTTACTGACAACTAAATATTTTTACTGTTACTGTTCTAAATTTGAACTTGGCCCTTGTCAAAGGTCTGAAAGAAAGATGACATTTACTTTATTTAAAACATATATTAGTAACCAGTTTTGTTGTCAGTAATAAGTTTGCAGATTGTTAGTAAAAAAAACACATTGTTTTGGGTTGGCAACAAAGCTCCATGTAGCCTGTATTGAATTAAGAACCAAACAACTTCAAGAAAAGAAGTCTTCTTTTACTACTTCTTTTACTATCATCTACTTTTTCAGTCCAAGAGGTTGAGCATTAAGATCGCCACACTTATATCAAAGTAAAAAAATACGTAAGATGGGCTGGATTCATTCTTGTTGTTCCTGGATAATTCTGTATAATAAGGATACATCCCAAGTTATCCTGTGACCTTTAAAAAATGACTGAAAGGGTTCAGGGCCTGAACTAACTCTCACTGATGCAGTGCTGTAGCAACTAAGTTTGGTGCCTGGGGCAAAGTCTGCAGCGGCAGCCCGCCTTCACCCGGCACACAGATCCAGAGGGCACATGCCCCCCCATGCTTGCCTGGGAGTGTACGCAGCAGCAAGAGCCACCCTTCCCCCATCCCTGTGCCCCGCCCTCCCCACAAACGAGCCACTTGTAGCTTCATCTCATGCCCTGCCCCAGCTGGGCAGCACCTGTTGGCA